GCATTACATTTTTCAACATTATGATAGCATTGTCCAGGATCTATCTGCCTAATGCAATCACTTTTCACCTCGACATAGGATGGCTGCCTTTCACAATGTCGACTGGGTTGTATATGCCCCCAGGCCTCTTTTCTTCCTTCTTTCTACTCAAACTATATTTCTTTCTGAGAGTTCCGAGTGAACACAAGCACATCGGTACAATAAAGGCTGCTTAGTGCGAGGGAAAAGCAAGACCGGCATACAAAAACAACACAACAGAGGGACAGAGAAGAATAAGATTCGAGCAAACGGTGAGCCTTGTTATGTCACTTAAACAACAGAGCAAAAGTAGGAGGCCACGACATCGCAACCTCAGAACTATGGGTGTCTGCTTTAGTTTTAGTGAAAGTTTTACCGCCAACCACCCACCGGGTGTTGATTGATTGATTGGGTAGATGTTTTACGGCACTATCGACACAATTTTGGTCATTTAAGCGCCACCCACCGGGTGTCTGTTTCCTAAAAATTATATGTAAAAACGGAAAAGAGTTAAAGGCTCCGGACAAGCGGTATTGCTATTGCTGCTGTTGTCTTTAGTAAATAAAATTCACTAAACCCTTGCATCGTCATCCGCATTTCTGTGCAGTTCAAACAGGGGACCCGTCATAATAAACAGTCAAATAAACAGCAATCACCGCACGCAAAGCCATCGTTTACCTCTTCAGGTTCGGTTTGATCAGCGTTTTACGGCGTTCGCAACTGCATAAGGCCGCATTATGAACGCACGTTTACGTCTCCCGGGCATCCATACGTAAAAAGGCACGCCTGTTGCGGTGAAAATGGAAATGACCTGCAAATTACAGCTCAAATGCCAGGGTGAACCATTGTTCTAAAACCCCAAATAAACGGGCACATTTGCATATTTCTAGGCCTTTACGACCAACACCTATGACGGTGCAACGACGTGCAGCACAAAACATGGGCTTGTGGACGTGCAGACTAGCAGGCATGGTGAAAGGACATTTCGA